TTTACACTTGTTCGTCTTTTCCCTGTCTCAGTCATGCGTCCATCGATTCAAAACGCTCGCAGCTCAAGTCGAAAACTCGTCTGTGCGTCATTTAGTTTGCTCCTTCTTGGGAGCCCTGTCGGATGAGGAGGGAATTTCTTGAAGTATCACTCTAAGAAACTAATGAGCTGTGCATAGAGAAATTTCAATACATTTCTCCTTGCTGCACTCACAATTATAGATGTACCAAATGAATTTTAGCGCTTTGATGATTTCAGAAGGATTGAGATTCACTTTAATAGTGCAGAATCCGAGAGTAAGTTGCTAAGATGATCTTTCCGTGCGCTTATGAACTGTTCATATCATGTTTCACATGGTTTAGTAAGTTTATGGATTATACTTGAGCATTTTCTTACTCACGGAAACAGCTTTTTAAAGCAAAAAAATCGTGTTCATAACATCAAGATGTCAGTGTGGCTGCGTGAAGATAATGGCTACTTACTGCTCTTCACTAAATCTGTACCGATAATCATCCACGTATCGACACACGCACACATTTACACACCTGCACGCTCACAGATCCATCCTAAAAGAGAGACACCCCCGATCCACAAATTTGCAATTCAAGAAAAATGTGGGAACTCGAGGGACTCAAGAGATATTTAAAAGTGAGATACATCTCATACTATTTTCTCTTCACTGTGTTTCTATTTCAAGCGAAGAAAAAAAAACGATAGTCTTTACCAGTTACACAAAAAAATTACGGGTCGCAGCTCTTTGGGCAGCGGTTGTGCAGGCAACATGCTTTTTAATTTCAAAATGGTTGAATCCAAGGTTCATGTTTTACTATATGATAGATTTGCACTTTTTGAATCGAAATATTAAAAGAGAAATACGCAAAACGATATAAGCAAGGACGGAGATGGTGCTTGCGTGGGTGTGTGAGTGTAGATATTCTTTTATCTCACACCCACACTTGAGATAAGACTTGACTTGGTTTAACTTTAAAATGTCTGCTTCGAAACTCATGACTTGACTTCATAAGTTCAATTTTTACGAATGACTTAACTTGACTTGGCTTGGGTACAAAAAAACCTGACTTGCCCATCTCTGCTCCGAATGTCTTTTGAATATTTTCATTTGATGGAAAATCAAGTTCATTATCAAGTTGACTAGTTGAGCAAATAGTAAATTTAAATTTATTTAATCGTGCTGTATGATCGATGATATTTCTCTTTAAATCTTTATCATCAACAAATTTTTCTCTGCCTCTAACTTAAAGAAATAAACTTAGTTCTTGCAAATTTAACATTCGATTTAGAAGTGGTACAAATAATTCCTCGTAATAATCTGTATTTCAATTACTACACAGCGAAAAGAATCTTAGATTAGGTAGTTTTTCCTCAAAAACAAAAATAGTATTATTAATTTTATTGAATAAATTAGATAATAATTGAAAATAATCAACCTTATTATTAATTGTTGAATTTGAAGACATAATGTAAGTAATATTAACATGAAGTGTACGAAGTTGATTGAAACATCCATCAAGTAAATAAATACAATCGACAAAGTCTGATAAACATACATGTAATTTTAACACAGTTGAAGAGGTCATTCTTGAAAGTTGAGTATCAAATGATAATTGTTGACACCAAATTGAAGATGGACCAAAATTTAAATATCGTAAATCAGTGAACATAGTCAAAATATGTATAAATAAAAGTACATTCACATCTTCGGTTGATGTTCGTTGACCGTTTGTACTAATATCGATAACAAGTGCTGAAGTTTGATTTTTAAAAGTACAACTGAAAATAGTTTAGTCTAAATTAAAAGGAATGATTGAGAAATATATTTTATTTATTGTAGTTAAAATTATTCAATAAATAACATTATATCATAAATCTTACATTTCTTATTATAAAACACGATCTCGAAATAATATAGGCTACAATATAGATTATAGAATTTTAGTTAACAACTCTGGTGCATTATTGAAACTAAAACTTCAAAACTATTACAATATGCAATGTTTTCTATTTTAGAAAATTGATGGATGAGCCTGAGGGGCCATTTATCCGAAAAATCTGGTATTAATAATTCGATGCGGTTTTATTTCCTCTTTTTAATCGTGAAAATCGGAGGTCTATATCTAGTTACTATCAAAAATAGCCGTCCTTCTTTTGATTTGAAATGGATATTAGTTAATTACATTGTGTTTCGCATTTTAACTCCGCACGGATTATGGTAAGAGTTTTCACGATCATCCATTTTTACCATCTATTTTATTCTTTATCTTCTTTTTCAAGAATTTCTCTTGAAGAATTCAAATGGAAAAAAATATAAACTCTTTTTATTTTGATATTTTTTTTGGCCTTTTATTTTAAATGATTTCTAATGACGATATGTTTCTCATGTATATTTATTAATTGATATGAATAAAATATAGAGTAATTTAAGATTATCAAAATATTTAATTTGTTTAATTAATGAGACTTTGAGTCGATTCGGATGAATTCGCTTGACATATATAGATTTAATGTAACTATTTATGATTGTAATAATCAAAATTAAATATCTAACCAGAAAAAAAGATTGATAGCTTCTCTTGCTTCAATATTATATAAACCAAATCCGTATATAAAGCAAGATAATTTGCAGAACAAAGAATACGTTTTATTGAAGATGATTCAAGATTAAACCATTTGATTTTATTACAAATTTGAGGTAAGATTTGCAAGCAAAACCGATTTAGTATTGAATCAAGTAATGGATAAATAACATATCTTGATAAAGATGTTAAAACAATAAACGACTTGGAGCAAGTCTTAGCAAATTCAAACGATACGTAAAAGTCGAATCACATACGATTCTATTGAGTCGTTTATCAACATCTAATAAAGAATAGAGTACTTCAGTATTGTACATATTTTTAAATATAATCATAAGAATTTCATCAAGTAAATCATTTATTTGAGGAAGTGAAGCTTTCATATCTGTCTTTACTTCTATATTTTTCATTAGCTAATAAATGCGAATATCTATATACATAGACTCATTTCTTCGGTTTGACCGATCTCGTCAATCGAAAATAATGATGCACTTTTGCCTGAACAGTGTTAAGTTGGAGAAAGAAAATAGCGAACACAAGAATAGTGAACAAAAAGTCAAAGAAAAATATGACGAAGCTATTGTAGCGAAAAAAGAAATGACGGTAATATGAAAATGTTGAAAAAGGTTTATTTTTACATTCTCAACCAATGCCATGAGAATATTTTATTACATACTTTTAGAGTTAAAAACATATCAACACAGCATCATGCTATAAATTTAACAGATGTTATGAAGTGAAAATGTTTGATTCAAAATTTTCCTTCTTTTTTCAGTGATAAAAATTCATCTTGTGCGACTTATTCAAAACAAAATAGCAATGAACTCCGCTTCGTATCATGTGCATCTTCAAGTGAAATAATTTTTGGTATTTCTGTCATTTTTTTTCTGATACATTTAATTATTAAAAGATTTGTGTATGCTATCAATTTCAATTTTATCAATACAAATTCTCTTCCTAAATCTTTAATTGATTCAATACAACATAAATATATAATATTTATGGCAAAATTTAGCAACGTCATAAAAAGTAATAACATAAAATAAATAAAGAGTATCATCTAGAATTAAATGAATACTGACGTTTCAATCAGAATTGACCTTCTTCAGAATGTTGATGTTATATATAAAGATGGTATTCTTTTTTATCTGTAAGTATATGCTTTCTTTTTTCTTTCTTTCATTTGATCATAGTGGTACGGTCAAGGAATCATAAGTGTCGTTTCCTTCCAAAGTTATCATCTTGTCCTTTCCATGCCACTACAATCAAAGAAAAGAAAGAACAGAGAACATATGTCGAAATCCGAGAATACCAACAGCATATATAACAACAATATTCTGAAAAAAAGTCAATTCTGACTGAAACATCAACGCTCATTTTATTTAATATACTTTGTTTATTTATTTTAATTTATTATTTTTCATGGTTTTGTTAAATTTTAACATAATTATTATATATTTATATTGTATCGAACAAATTAATGACACAATATAAGGCAGATGGCTATTTTTTTCAATAAATTTTGATAGAAACAAGATAGAGACCTACGGTTTTCACCATTGGAAAGAAAATTATTTTCTTCACAATAGTAAGCCAAAATCTGATTGGTCATCAATTGACCAATCAGATGAACGGTTTGGTCAACATTTTACTAAATGATATTGTGAAAGGTTTTCCCATTGAACTTTCACTTGAAATTCAATCATTAGATAGAAAAAATTGTTCTCTTTCGATCTATGCAAGGCTGAGCTCTCTAATTTGTTCCCTTAAGAAGTTATTGACGTTTTCCTGAGATCCTCGAAATTGAACAAACGGGCTTCAACCGAGTCAGAATGGGTCTGGACAGAGGTAATCGACCAACCCGAGTCGAGTGGTAACATTTGTTTTCATTTTTGAAGTTGTCTGGTGCTGCAATACTCGCATATAACATTCCATCATTTTCACGCTTTCTTTGCTATTGAGTAGTAATATCGAAAACAGTGGTATAGTAGCCTCAGACAGCTTTGAAAATGAAAACAAATGTTACCAGAGTACGAGTAGGTATGGGGGTATAGATGTGAGTGAAAAGAAGATACACATCACACCCACACCCCACGATTATGTTTCACGAAATAAAGAAATCCTTGGATTCCAGAAAACTTCTAATTCTAAGAGCATGAATGTCGATTTTTCTGATACATAAAAGATCGTTAATTCATCTTTTTTCACCATTGTCGCTAGTTGTTTCTTTGTTCATTTTGGTGCAACCTTTTGGTCATGGAGACTTTTGATCCTTTGATCGTACGTAGTGTAAAATTCTTTTTCGTACCTTTCTTCTTGAATGTTTGATCTTCCGCCGAAATCGCTCGCTGAGGTTCAAAGGGATAAGCGACACAAAGAAAATCTTACGCTTCTTTGTCCGTCCTTCTTGGAGTGGTATATAAGGAGAGCATATTTGTTCATATTCATTCATTCAAATCATCACACACAAGCTATTCTTACCACTTCCAACTACAACAACACTATTTTTCTCTACAAATATATTATATCTAAAAAGGTTAGTCTTGGCACAAAGCTTTCGCTTTTTTCATATTTTTGTGGACGACTTGTTTGTTTAGGTTTAAAAAAAAATGCCCACTATATCAATGGTCTGTTTCGTTTGTTCAAAAAAAATTCCAATCCAAACAACGCCCTCGTGAAACCGCCATCGTTCCCCTTTGGTATTTAAACTATGTGGTTCGACGTGCTTTCCATGCTCACCGTCGTCCAAAAATGATTTCAATTGGTATGTCAACAGATGATTTATTTGGTAAGTTGTTTCACCATCATTTGAACAGCTCAGAAAAAGTATATCGTCTTTTTTTCGTCACATGTTGTTACTCGTGTCAAGGAGGTGTTAGTCGAGCCCAGAGCCCGAATCGAACCGACTTTTACGGGTTCGAGTTCGGTTCGGTTCGACTAATTTTTTAAAAAATTGGTTCGGGTTCGGTTCGGCTCGAATATGTCTTTAAAAAGTGGGTTCGAGTTCGGTTCGGTTCGACTATGTTTAAAAAAAATCGGTTCGAGTTCGGTTCGGTTCGGCTAAATTTTAAAAAAACCGGTTCGAGATCGGTTCGGTTCGACTCGAACCGAACCGAACCATTATAGTTCGGTTCGGTTCCTGATAGGCGTGCCATTTTCCTGTAAGTTTATTTTAAACTAAAACTGTTGCCAATATAAATTTAAATTAAATAAAATTTTTCTGATACCAAAATTTTAATTTACAATAAATTTAAATTGTTATGTGAAATAAATTTAAAATTATTTTAGATTTAAATTTTTGAGAATTAATTTCTGGAAGTAATAATTTTTTGTGAATTAAAATGCAACAGCCCAATCGTCAAAATACATGACTTCAAGAAAAATAGATCAGAAATAAAGAGAGAAACTGCTATTATACGTTAACATCCGATCATCACTATAGTAGATCCCGTAAGAAAACGGCCGTGCTCCGTTCCTATTATTTTCTAACGATAATAAAAAGCTTGTACAGATACCATTGCTAGTAGACCTGAGAGATAAAAGGTTTCTTTTGATTTCTATAGATAACTATACAAAGTGAAACTTAAATTAATTAAAATGTAGCTTAAAACACTTCAAATTTATTTAGATGTAATCTAAATTATTTTGAGTTTATTGAATTTTTTTGAATTTTGTACAAATTCGATTTAAATTCAAAATAAAATGAAATCTTTTACAATTGATTTCTTGACTTGATAAATTTTTGTAAATATAAATTGATCGTCCACAATCCCTGATGTCAAATGTTCGATTAAAGATCGTTTGATAATCCCATATAGCATCACAATCTTACAAAAAAGATTATAGCTCAACTAATCATTTTTCTTATGTACTTGTCCATATTTATTCGCTTTTCAAAAATTAGTTAGGCGCAGTTCAGCTTAAGGTCCCTTTTTAGGAAGTGGTTCGAGTTCGGTTCGGTTCGATTCTGTTTTAAAAAGGGTGGTTCGGGTTCGGTTTGGTTCGACTACGTTTTTGAAAGAGCGGTTCGGGTTCGGTTCGGTTCGACTAAATTTTAAAAAAACCGGATCGAGATCGGTTCGGTTCGA